CCATATCTGTAAAGGTCAAGACAATATATGAAAAACAGATATACTTATCTGTAATTCATTTTCTCAGGACCATATAAGAAACTCTAGTGTTCAGCAAAATATGCAATATAGCGCTGCAGAGAAAAATTTACTACAGGACTGGAAGCAGTGCAATAAAGTGCAGTGCTTGAACTAATTAAAACTCTGGAGAGGGAGGACTCCATAGCTTACCTGAAGCAGACTAATATTTCTGAGTTTGGAAACTGTATGTTGCTGTGCTGTACTGGGAAAACGTACTGATGATAGCTCTCAAAGGCAGAAATTTCTAACATGGCACTGGACAGCACAGCACAGATGCCAGATATACATGGGCGTATCGTATTCCACAGCTCTGAAAATTCACAGGTCAGATTCTCCCTCTCCTCCTCCCTTTTAAAAATGTATTATTTATTTATCTTCTACAGTGACTGGCATCCACAAATAGGTTAGGCATTTTGAAGTGTGGATCTCAATAAATGTCAAATAGTAAGGAAAAATCTTTTTTTCAAAATCTCATTCTTCCTTCAAAACCCAAGTTTTTCTCAACTACGAATGAAGGAGAGAATGACATTTGGATTGATACTCTGAAATAATTTTGTGGGCCTCTATTTAAACATGAACCTGTGTAAAAAAGGACAGGTTTATATTTCAAATGAAGAAATGTTTCAAGTTAATTCTAAAGAACAAAAGAAAATGGAAACACAGGCTAAAAGCAAGAGATCTAGGCTATAAATAAATAAAAAATAAATCATAACCACACTTCCATATTTAATGCCCTAACCACAAACAGTAGGCAAGGCTGAAATAGGAGTGTTGTGTAATTAAATATGTAAAATGTATAAAGCAAGTGAAGAAGATAAAGCCTCACTGCAGTCCAGCAACAAGTATCTTTTGATATGACATTTCATGCCTGCTCCTACTACTGCTAATCATTCCATGTATTTTGCATTATAGAATTCTTGGAATAGTTATCTGTTTATTACTGTCATTTATTTTTGAAGTAAAGGATCTCTATCTACTATTGAAACTATAAATAAATACTTTTAACCTACCCATAATATTTTACACTCCCCTGTAAAAGGAAAGGAGCTGAAAGATCTAGTAATTTAAGATCATCTTCAGTGGATCTCACAGGAATAACACATTTAAATTTTCTTGAAAGCTTCCAGACTTCTTTTAGTGTTCCACCTATTAAAAACAGAAAAATGTTTTTTAAGCTGTATCCAAGAGTAAATTGAACACATTTCATTACTTGGCTACCTGAAAGATAATGTCAGGGCCTTCAGTAACAAAAATTTTGAAACTGAAAAAACAATCCTTCATTTTCTGACTCTTAACATCAGAATATATATAAAACCAAAGATGGCCAATTACTGCAGCACTTACTTTAAAATCTTTCAAATAGTTATAATTACCAAGTATATTTAATTAGCATTACCATGCTAATTAGTATTATTATGTTAATTAAATTAATATGTAATTATCACATTCAAGATGATTTTACTAGGTGTTTCCTTTCTTCAAAAAATAAAGAATACAGTGATTTTGCCCCGAAACACTTGTTATTCCAACCTTTAGGAAGCAAAAAACCTATTAATTTTTAACCAACACCTAGGAAAAAAATTCAGTATCATTAACAATAAATGAAGAACTATAAACATGATGTGAATTTGAGGCCATGTGAAGAACATGGTAGAAATATTAAGACTGGAACCATGGGATTTTCGAACTCTAATGACAGGGAAAAGCTCGTTAAATTTTATTATAGATAACTATAGATCTATAGTATGTTGCCATGTCTTCAACCTCTGTTGTATGGAATGCAGAACTGACTATACAATCTTTTTGACATTTTACCAGTTCAGTGGAAATGTAGTAAATTTAATAACAGGCGGAGAACAGTTTTTGGTTGAAAACAACATGACAAAAATAAATCATTTAATCATCTCATTAACAACAGATATTAGAAAAAAATGAGGAAACTGTTTTAAAATAAATATTTTATGACTGCACTGCTTACCACTAAGTAAGTTCTTTCAAAAACTTTAAGACAGTATGGCACTGGGCTGTAAAATATGTATTGTACTTATTCATTACTTGTCTTGGAGAAATAACCAGAGAAGAAAATGAAATCAATAAAGCTGCATTATCACTGGTGTTGTAAAAATCACAGTACTGTGAAATCTTTTTAATAAAGTTACCTTTTAATGATTAAAAAGAAAAAACAAACAAATGAAAAGGCATAGATGGTTGAAATGCATTCTCAAAAGGTCAGAAAACTAATGTCTTCCGAGTCCACTGACACTTTTAAACCCTCTCAAGCACATCTGAAATCTCATTTAAAGAACTGAAAAACAAAATCCAGGCCTTAGCTATAGCATTTCTAAAACACTTGCAAAATTTCAACATAGTCACAATACTAAGTCACAGCTGTAGAATGTATTCCTGCTCCCAATAGATCAGCACGAAGTATACAGAATTATCAGTAGTTAACTGTGATGTGAATCAGAGGGATTTTACATATAAAAAACAAATATATGCAATAAGCATTATTATACTTGTTAGCTGTGACATTCCCTTTTCTTCAGTACAAGTCCTCTGTAGAAACCTTCATCCCCTCATGTAGGGTCACCTAAAAATTCTGTCCTTTATCCAAGTCTTTCTTCCATTTCAACCCCACAGAATTTGGGCATTCAGGATGAATTTATTTATTCAGCATAATGAATATGGGGAAGAATATAGCTTGAGTTGTAAGCAGCGATTTGCTTGTATTAGCAAACAAAAAGTAGCATCTAGATCACATCACTCTAATAACTGTCATAATGCGTTGCCATTTGAGGGTTGTCTATATCCGGAAAAATGCTGGGAAGATTTTTAGGGAGACTTCACAATTTCCATCTTCAAGGGCTTAACAAATATATACAAATACTGCAAGGTTTGGAAAAGATTTGCAATCATTTTTCTGTAGAAAAAAAGCCAAAATACTGGTGTACTAAAGCCTCTTTCAGTATCTGTGATTGTTTCTTTTCCTTGTGGTCCAATACAGAGCACACACATCCTTATAAACAAATTGTTAGCTGATGGCAGTTAAAATATGAATTTTGTTTATTTTAGGAGAAAAGAGTAGACATACTAGTCCCTTTCTTTTGTCTTCACAAAGATAAGGTTATATTGAAAACTAATTTGGAATATGTCAGAAATATGGCAGCTATGAGAATCAGTCAAATAAAAAATATATAAAAAATCCCCAAAAAACAAACAAACAAAAAAACAGAAGAGATTTTGTCACTGACACTCATGCAAAGGACCAACTGATTGACTTTTGCTTATTCACAGCAATACTCGAGTACTACCAAAGACCTACCAAAGAATAGTGTTATTTGCAATTATTTACTAATCTTATTCTATTCAAAAACATTTCTTATTTGTAGCTTTACTTAAATTGCTTTGTTTAATGTTTGTTGGATATTTCTCTGCCTGAGGCAAACATAACATGGAAAAAAAAAAAAGTTGTAAGAAGGTTTATTTATCCGAAACAACACTGACATCCAGAGGCTGGCAAAGTTAATTGTATCTTACATTACCAAAAGCCTTCCAAATTTCCAAACTTTTCCTGTAAAAATATTAGAGCTCAATCAAATGAGACCTAAGAAAAAGAAAACAAAACCACCCAACACAGTAAGCACAGCTGGAAAAAAAAATACATACTCAGATCTGAGTTTCAACAGAACCAACAATAATCTTGCAGGTGACTTTCTGTTCACATAAAGTTCCAGCTAAGTTTTTCTTTCCTTTGAAGATGCCTTTATGATCATCATTGTTTGTACTGAACATAAATCAAAATGGACTCTGTGCCATAGAAAGTCGTATATTTGCAGTTATTTATTTTACCTTTTGTATTTTATTTACCTTACCTTCTATCATAAGCAAAGTATTTTCTGGCTCTTGAAGCATTTCATCATGCTTTACAAAATGAATAGCTATTTTCCTTTGTTTCTGATCTTGTGTAGTCCACAACACAGAATCATACCAGGATGTATTGTGTAATTCTGGGTTTGGGGCAGTAGCTGCAGATTCTTGTAAAATTAAGTTGAGGTCATCTCCATTTGGAACTTCCTTCCTGAAAACATTTCCAAAATGAGTAAGTAAATAACAACAGTTTTCCTAAGGCAGTCTACCAATCAAGAAGGCAAAATTCTGGATAAATACTAAAATAAGATCAAGAGAAATAAAACATACACAGGAAAAATTACTTTTATTTGCTATCTTTGCTGAACCAGTGTATGTATTGAGGGCTCTATATCTCCTATCCAGAAGTGCCATATAAATTAAAGACAATTCAGCTCCACGTTATCACACATGCTAAGTAATCTAATTTTACCTGGCAGCAGTACCAGCTTCATAGTTCATTCACACATATGTAAATCAATGAAAATTTATTGGATTTTAAACAGACCTTAAAAAGACCACAAAACTGCATAATACTTTACTAGATTGAATATACAAACCCATATAGTTCAAGTTTTAATTTCTAGGCAATTTTATTTTGCCTATTGTGAAGAACAAAAAAAAGAAGTAGGAGCAGAATAACTTCACACAGAGACCTTGAAGGGAAAACCTGCAACTCTGCATCACACAGTGTCTTTCCTGTCTGTGTAAAGTACAACAATAAAGCATCTCCAATTGTCTCCTTTATGGAGAAGCAGCACAGGCCACCCAAATCTTATGAATATTATCAAGAGCAGGCAAAAAGCCAGTAGCAGGCACATCAATTTTAAAAACTGAAGTATTTTAGATCATCTTCTCCTATGCAAGACAGCTTTGCAGGATTCAGGAGGGATATGAACTGTGACAAAAAACAGGATAATGGAAAAAAAAAAAGTTGAAGCTTGAGCTACTTTATAAAACACTAAAAGAAAGTAGGTGGTAAATTCTAAAGTGGATTTAAGGAGGAAATAACAATAATTCCTGAAGCATATTTTCAAGATCACTCAATCCTCAAAACAGCTACTTTTCCCAGGAAATAGGATAATTCCTGCCTATGAAAGCTGCCTCTGGCATTCTTCTGCTAGAATTGCAAAATTAGCATCCAAGAAGTCTTGCTGAAATTATATTTTCATTTCATGAATGCAATGCCATTCACATGACCTCTTCCCATCTGTGTTCCTGGATTACTACTATACATGCAAAAGCAATGGACCCAGCATAATAGGTCATCTTCCCATTTAACTCTTCCGGGCTCTAAAATCTGCCTGCGGAACCACCACACAGCAAGTAGCAGAGGCAAGAATGGAATTAATCTGTTTTGAATCAAAATAAGCACCACAGTTGTTACCTGCTCAGCGTGGGTAGCTGAATAAAATTAGCTCCATTTGTACTGATATTCTGCTATTTACAGAGGAGATTTCACTCAAAGCATAGGAGACCAAAATACACATATCTTTTATGAGGATACGTGAATCTTAATGCACAGGTATTAAAGGACTGAATTAAAAAACTTTGTTCAGCCAGGTTCTACAGCATATGCTAAAATAGGAAATAACTTTTCTTTCTCCCATGACAGAATACATAGCAGATAATTTTGGGGGGGCATCCTTCTATGTTCCCTTAATTCACTGAGCCCAGGCTGCAGTAGAGTTCCAGTGTATTTCACCAATGCCTTCCACATGATGACTAAAGCTGAGAAAAAGAGGAGCTGAATTTACAGAAAAGTGCTGCAAGTAGTCCCATCATTGAAGTAGGATGGTAGAATGACAACGAAATATGCTAATTGAAGCCTTACAAATTTTAAAACAACAGCAGACAGCAGACAGCAAAATGTGAAATAGGAAGAGACTGAAATTAAAAGAAATGATAAATCTGACAAGAGAGAAACATACAAAAAAGGCTATGAAAGTCAAGGAAAATTGCGAAGTTGGGATAAAGTTCTTTAAGGAACATGCAAACTTCTATCAATAGACTCTTCACCATACACAGTAGGCAAATAAGTTGAAAAAGAAACACAAGTGGCAGAGACAGTTCCTCATTATTTCCCTTTTGTATTCAATAGGAAAGTCCAGGTATGCGTGGTAGTAAAGTCACTTGCATTTTATGAAGATAATGAAGCAGCTTCTCATTGCATTAGTATCCAACAAAACATTATAATGACACATGTTATGGAAAAATACTTCTAAAGCAGCAAGCATTACAGTTTGCATCCAAGACCCTTAAGAGAAAGCTAGTGGGGACACTTTCTTATCTTAATGATATATCTAAGAAACCTTGATTATGTGAGAAATTCCCAAAGGCTAGAGGAATGTGAACTTGCCACAACATAAAAAAGGGCAGTTTACACCAGTAGCAACAAAATTGTTAATCTAACAACAGCCCTAAGCAAAATCAGTCAGAGGAAAAAAAAAAAAAAAAGGGAACTGGATTTTGATGATCATGAATAGCAGTATAATTCACATCACTCAATACTTTCATTGCAAATAGGCCATGTCAAACAAATTTACTTTCATTTTTAGATGAGATTACAGAGTTAATACAGAGCTAAACAGAGTTAATACAGAGTTAGTCACAGCAGATTTTTTTTTTTTTGGTAAGATTATTTGTCTGAGCAGTATATGATACAATGACAATACAGAATTACAGGAGAAATAACAATGATATATTGGAATGAATTGAGTAGGTCAGAAAAAAGACAGAACTATGAAGGTGACCAGTATTTCCCTGATATATTTGAATCAAGGTGAGATGCTTTCTCTGGAAGGTGCACTTTAGTCAAAGTTATTTTACTCCTTAATGAAGACCATAAATTGGGAGACCATAAGACCTGTTTGCATATTTAGAAAGGCATTACAGAAACATATGTTTACACAGAGTTTCAGTATGGAAATAAGAACAACAAAAGGTTTGAAAGCTCTGAAAAGAATCCTGAAAGCAGAACCCACTTCAGTGATGTCAAATTTTGCTACCTAATATCAGCACGCCTCAAACTTTTGCTTGAAATGAGACTACACGAAAAGGATGCAAATACACTGCAAATCTAGACATTTTAAAACACACAGAATAATTTCTAAATTACTTATTGTGTAAAGCACTTACAAAGAATTGCATTTGGAACAATGAAGTTTAATAGACTGATGGAGCTTCTGGGGTTTGAAAGTTCTCAGCTTTGCTCTAATGCGGTACTGTTGAGGAGCAGTGCTATTCAGAATCGTCCTCAGTCCTGTGTTATTCAAATCCTGATGATCTGTTAATACTGTAGAACAAAAAAGACCCCACATACCCTATTAAAATACATGGAATTTGAGGAACAGACATTACAGGCACACATGTGCTCTAGTCCCCTGTTTCTCTTCAGCCCTTGAACAATTTGCCTTAAAACCTACAATTATCACAACGCCCTGATTTCACTATGAGGTGAGATTCATTAATATAGATAGTCCCTTTTTTTTTCCTCAGGAAGCATATCCGAGTGTACAGCTGAGAAGAGCAAGATGATCAGGAGGTCACAGTCAAAGATACATCACGATCCTATGCCTAAATGCTACACTCAGCTGGTAAGTCTTGATACAGACCAAGTATGAAAATAATAAAGAAACTGCTCTTACAAAACTAACCTGTTTAGTTTAGTTACAACCTACATTTTGGTAACTCAGCTAGTAGCTGCCATGCAATTTAAGTTGCTACCAAGATAGATTTGCAAGCTACGGGTAATATGAAAAGGTCACTTAAAATATTTGAACCATTTCTGTTTGCTCTTCTGAAACGGGCTGCAATATCAGGTATTAAATGAACAAAAGATAATCCTGAAGGTTATATACAGTTGCAGCCTTAATTTCATCAATACACGTTACTTCAGCCTTTTAGAGAAACCACAACAGGCTGTAGGAACATTGTGTACTTGAGAGTATGGGAATTTAACATTCAGAATAAACAAAAGCAGAATATATAAAGATATTTTATTCCTTAAAAATATTGAATGAAAACAATTCAATATTCATAAACTTAGAATCATAGATGATAAAATAGATCTTACTTAAGACTTCAATCTTTTTGTGTTCGTGACTCAAAAACTTTCTGGTTCTTTAATAAAAATAAATAAAACTTATCTTAAGATCAATGCTTCTTACCTGTTACAGATAATTGCTGACATCTCTGTAAGTGTGATTGAAAATCTAAAAATCAAGAATTTTCTAATTATTTTACTTCCTTATCATGCAGACACAAAAAAATGCATATATGTACAACAAGAAGTTATGCAAAAGACAGTAAAAATCCTAATGACATATGAAAATAATGTAACAAAAGAAAAGAAAGCAAACAGGACACTTAAATATGTTAAAAGCTCACATATTTGAGGAAAAATTACTGTATATATTATGCGGCATTACCATTCAAACTGAACACTTATTCAAGGTTGCTGTTCATCTAAACTGCACTCATTCTCATTAACCTTCTTGGTAAATAAGGTAAATGCATTACTCAAGGTTATCTACTGAGTCTTTCAGGATAACAAATATCAGTTGTAAGTACCTTAATTTATATAAAATGATACGTATCATAGGTTTAAGTTTGATTTCGCAGAACTGTACCCAGAACAGATTAGTGCAACTATCCACTCAAAAATGTGTGTGGTGGATTTTTCAGAACCTAATCAATTTTCTTATCCCTAAATATTTTTTTGTTTATTTTGTACATCTTGTAGTCCAGATAGATTTCATAGAGAGACGTCTCAGGGATAAAATGCCATATATCTCAGTATATAAGAGTTCTCTGAAGGAAGAGCTTTCTGTTAATTACCAGGACACTTGTTCTTTTCATTAGCAGAAGTTGTGGACATTAACTATCAGAATAATTAATTATTTAATTAATTAGCTTTTGCTCTCATTAAAAGGTCACAAGTTATACTAATTTCTTCAACGAAGAATTGAATTTAAAAGAAAGTCTGGATCCCTTCTCTTTGTCTGTACTCATTCTAGTATCTTGTCATGGCAGTACAAGCTGCGAGCTGTCAGGATCTCCTAAATACTTGTTTTTCTATGGCATTCTATTTCCTATAAAAAGAACCTGTTGTGTGAGATAGTAATTTAAAATGTATTTTGTGTGTTAATCCAAAATTTAGTCTAAGTATCTTCCTTCAGACAACATTTAAAACAAGACAAAACAGAACAGCAACAAAACAAGAAGTACAAGGGTTTTGAAAATCATGTAACCTGAAAACATGAATTTTAGCCTACAAAAAGGCAGGGTTTTGACTAATGGGAGATTTATGAATTAGCTTCCACAATATAAAAGAAATAACATGGTATAAACAGAAAAAAGAACTGAATCTCAAACTACATTTCTTCAAAGCAGAGGCGCAGATCATTATTTTGTTCTATTCTCATCACTTACCATAGAAAATTGGTAGTTTTCTCTCGAGTAGGCTTTCTTAAGCCAGAATTTTATCAACAGTATTTTTTTTTAACTGAAGCCTTCTTAATCAGCAACACAAAACAATAAACAGTCCTCAAGTGTTTCCTCACTTTTTATCACTGTTATCCCAGTGCCTAAAAGGACATGTTTCGGACTCCCATTATGTTATATTCTATGCAGAGCAGAAAGACAATAAGTTTAGCATCTAGAAGATATAATACACCTAAAGATCTTGTAACTGAGCTTCTTAAATATCATTGGAGGAGTTTTTTTGTGCCAAAAAAGGGACTAAGGTTGATACAGCATTTATCCTGTAAACTGTCCGTGAATTACTACTTTTCCATTGTATTGAACCTTGCAGCTCTGCCACTGTAATGTCTACACCCAACAGCTGAGAAGGGATCTTCAGCAAGCAGCTGTATAGTGTTTTCGGTGCCTGTGGCTGAGGAATCTTCCTTTAGACACAGGGAATATCTCACTGTGCTGTGATCTAATAGAGTATGATTAAGAACAATGTTTGTGGTTAAAATTTTATTCACTGCCTTTTATGGAAATGTTTTTATCTGTAAGAAAGAATTCTACCATGAAACAGAAGGACAGGATAATCCCAGATTTCTGTCTAATAATCCATACGAATTCTGAAATGCTTTACGTGGGAGAATGACATTACACATCATCTTTAGAGAAGCAATAAACATAGACTTATCTTGGCTATATTTAAATACATGTTAGAAGAAAGAACAAATAGATTTTCAATTGCTCTTACCTGCAACATTGCAAAAAATGCCATCTAATTCCACTGAAGACATGCTATCCAAATTCTGACTGCCTGCCAGATCCACAGATTCCAAGAATCTAAAAATAAATGAATGGATGAATATTTCATAAAACTTGTGAAATCCCTCTCACTACCTCCACCTCCAACATCCTGCTTACTAATACACAAGTATAATGTTCAGACAAAACAGAATCTCCAGCAGAGATATAAAATTCAATTGAGTCAAAAGTTGCAGGCACCTGTTATAATGATACAAGTGAGACACTGATTTCCAAATCACTTCTGGAACTTTAAACTCAATATAGTGCCAAAAGACATCTGTAATGGTGGAAAATAAAATTTCTGATAAAAAATGATTTTGGTCATTAAGCAATTCCTTAAACACGCAACTCATTTCAATAAAGTATTTAAATTTCATGCTTCATTTCAAAGAAGTTTTAAGTCTCACCAATTCTAAATAAGACATTTGTACATATTTAAAACATGCTAAATTCTTTGCTCAACTGAAACTTTAAATAAACTTTATAAAAGAATAATCTTTAAAAGATTATAAAGATTGTATGTCACTATAAAACAGTTAGGTGATGCAGTCAGGCCTTATTATTAGAAAATTCAAACAACAATATTAATCTCTGCTGTATTTTCCATTTGAAAATGGAAAAATGATTTTTTACCTTACTAGTACTAATCACACATCCTTTCCCAAATTTCTGGTTTTTATATACATTTATAAATCTTAAGTCTACATTTGTAATATTAGCCTGAAGTTTTCTGGGATAATTTAGAAAATAGATTTAGAACTTACTCTTTTAGTTCTCTAACATCCGAGTTATTTTCTGGCAAGACTCCTATTCCTCGACCATAACAGGTGCCTCCATGAAGATGGAATTCTACATGTGATACATCGTGGTTGTCAGAACTTGCTTGCTTCGTATGAATACTGTAAATTCTCAGAAAACTTCCAATCTTAAACATGGTGGTGGGAAAAAAGAAAGTAAAAAAAAAAAAAAAAAAAGACTTGATAACACAGTGTCAGCTATTTCCTTGGAAAATCCTAAGCATCCTAAACCTCCCTCCCAGTTTTCACACAATGGCAAAGTCATTGAGGGACCTTCAGAGATCACCTTGCCCAAGGCCTCTCCTCAAAGCAGGGACAACTAGGAAAGGTTGCCCAGGCACATGTCCATGCAGGCTTTGAATATCTCAAGGATGGAGACTTCACAGCCTCTCTGGACAACCTGCCCGTTTTGCTTCATCCAATCCCATGGAAAAATGGGACAGTGGGAAAAGCTACTGTCAGAACCAGGACAAGCACCACAAACGCCTCAAGACAACTTAAGAAGACAGATCAAGAAAGCCAGAAAATTCTTCTCCTGAGGGCATAGTTTGTCTTCCCTGTTCCCCATATGACCCTCCAGAGACTGCTGTGCTGTGGTTTGTCCATGCATGGCAGCACTAAGTAGCTGATCTCATGATACATCTTATCTGTATTTATGTATACACAGAAATGCATGTATACACAGAAATGCAAGATGTGTGTGCATCTTACACACATTTTTAACTCTACCTTAACTTACACTCACAGATAAACTTACAGATAACACTCACAGATAACTTACACAACAGATAAACTATTTTGCAGCACCATAACAAAAAGACAACAGTGTTCAGAGTTTCAGTAATAGAATGAGGAACAGAATTAAGTTCTGCTCTCTGAAACTGTTCTGTCAAATTACACCAACAAACTTGCACAGGTAGCTGCTAAGAAATTATGAAGTGGTGAGAAGAGGTGAATAGGTACTTTAATATTGCTCATATTAAAAACTACCAAACTATACTACAGAGATGTAATTAATATCAGCATTGCAAAACATTGAAAAAGTCAAGCAGATTGTGTATGTGAGCAGAATGACAAATATGACTATGCAACATGGACTGCAATTTCCAAATATTCCTTCGGGAGGCAGCATTGCTTATTGTTAACAATAGCCAGCAAAAGTTATAGGTGCTAAAAACGTTATGGCATTTTTGATCAGTTTATTGAATGGCTGGAGGAAAAAAAGCACAGCTCTTTAGAGTAATTCTATTTATGAATTACCCATGCAACTCATTTAGGGCAAGTTCATTTAAAATGAAATTAAAATAATAAACACATGATTTCCGGCAAAATCAGTTCCTATTTTCAGTTGAATTCAAGTATGACTTTTTTAAAAAACAGATATTAAGGTTAAAAGATAAAACTAAAGAAAATCACATCTACAGCTTCCAGTAACTAGTTAGAGCTAAATAAGTTTTCAGAATAGCAAATTCTCATAATTACTTCAAATCAAATGTGGGTTGTGTCAAAATTTGTTTAAGCCACAAATAAAATATTGAAGGTCATTTGTTATTGGCAGTTTCAGGAGATACCCATGACAATAGTTTATCTATAGAAACCATGTAAGCAAATCAACCTATACCAATTCTTCTCGCTTTATAACTGTATGGTATTTAAAGCAGCTTCTTCATTTTATCATATGAACAGTCTAATTTGAGTAAACCATGCACAATTTCTTGCAAGTGACAGAAAGCATTTGGCCGTAATCCTTTTATCCAAGGAATAAAAGAAAATCCCAAATTAATTTCATCAATAGGATTGGGGATTTTTTTTTTCGTCTTTTTGATGATTGTAAAGACAGTGTGGGAAAAATACAATAAACGTGATAACAACACTACCTAGGTCTGAAAAATAAAAAGCTCCACACTGTAACTATGCAACTTATGTAACAAGCAGGTTGGAAATGTGACTTAGACATTAACAACTGAGCAAAAACTTTAGTCCAAAGCACTGCCAAAAAGCATAGAAAAGACACAGGAGAAACACAGTGGAAATCATTTATATTCTGTATCTAAAGATATATATAACAAGGTGTAAACACTCTGAAACTAATGATTTGAACTTCTATGAGTGCTAAAGGTTAACTACTCTTACTGTGCTAACTAAAAATACATCGTAATACAAAATAATCCATGATAACCACAAGGGGAACTCACAATGCCACATATACAATGTATGACTGTCCAAAAAGGAAATCTCATAACTTGAGTTCAAATCTCCCCTCTTGATCACCGACAGTCATCATGACACTTATTACCTAACAAAATTCCCCCAGGTAGAGAAACCCATGTCACCCAATCTCAAGTTACAGGGCAAGGCGAATCCCGAGAACTGCTGGGAAAGCTGGACTAAGGAAGAGACCTAAGGATAAACAAGCAGGTTCACTTTGTTCCTGGAACAAAGGGAAATTGCACCAAAGAAATAGGTCACAGAAAGTCTACTTTCAGTATCAAATGAAATGAAGCTTTAATATTACTGCTATAACATTACTATTGTTTAATATTAATATAGTGTCAAACACTATAAATACTAGCTGACGGGGGAAATGGGGAAATCAGCTGGCTGGGATAAAATGCTCATACATTCAGTGCCTTTTGGATAGACAACTCAAACAAGGAATTTTTAACAAAACCTTGCAGAAATATTCCTGACACTGCTCTACAATTTGACATAAATTGACTGTAATAAACTATGCATTATCTCTAGACTGTGCACTGTTTACTTGGTTTCTTTGGCTAAGCATGGTCATATAGACACAATTTTAAAATAAAAGCAAAAATTTCTGTTTTCTCAATCTGCACATCTTGATACGAAGGCTGTGTAAAGCAGATTGTTTCTACACTAAAACATAATTTCAGAGCTGCAACTGTTACTGCAAATGGTACAAAACAACACTGAGAAGTGTAACCTAACATTTTATCAGCAATTTACATAGAAATAAAGTTCTAAAGTACTTTCAAAAACAGAAAGGATGTCTCAAAGAATAATGAACTTTATTGTTTCTGAAACAATAAACTGGCAAAAAACACCAGTACAGTTTCTACTGACACTGTTCCTATGCCTGCACTCAGGGAGATATTCTGTCCATATGTTAAACTCCCTCCAGTTTTATGCTTAGGCAAAAATGATTCTTTAATCTTTGTATAATACTTTATTTAGTTCAGGGTCTTGTTAAATGAATTAATAATTAGTTTCAACTAATATATATATATATATATATATTTACCATAAGACATAATTTTGACTAGTAGTTAAAAATAAAGCTTTTCTTAAAACTTTCAAACTTTTAAAATAGCCCTTAAAGTTTTATTTTTTATCTTTAGATTATTATGTGAAGCAAAAAATAAAATGAATTCCATAAATTTCAACCTGAAACTTAATAAATCTTTCTTGAGTTTAGTTGCTAGCTTATCAGAATTTTTTATTCTATAATTCCACTAAAATACAATCCATCCACTATAGCAACAACTGAAAAGTAGTGTTTAAAAATATTCCAACAAACTTTTTGTTCAGAATGATCAATCCTGATGTAACTTTGACCATAGTGGAAGCAAAAAAAAAAAAAAGAACTTGTGTTGTTCAGAAGGTCAAAATCGGTTTCTTAGGCATCATGGCATCAGAGCTTACATAATACAGCATCTAGCAAAGGCATGTGTATAATAGAAGAAAGGATAAATGGCAAGTTAAAAAACAAAGAGAATAGATGAGTATGTAACATTCATTAAACAATTTTTCCTTCATTTTCAAAATATATTGCTTCACTCAAACATTATCCTTTATTTAAATCAACAGACGAAACTAGTTAGTAAGATAATAATTGTGTGAGAAGCTGCAAGCAATGAAAGACTTCTATGAGTACATTTTGTTGTGAATTTTTACACAAATGACAGCTATTTTATTATCTGGTATTTACTTAGGAATTTAAATTTATCAAATTGATTTTATGTCTGCTGTTAGTCCCAAACTAACTACAAATAAAGTATCAGTTGTCTATGCTTTCTGGTAAAGACACGATCTTAAAAACCGCACTTGCATACAGAAGGCAGGCCATAAATGGAAAGTTAAGATATTTTTGCTAAATTGCTCTACTCAGAAGCAAGATGGCAGTATTGTTGAAGATCAAACGTTTAATTTTGTTCTTCTTTTATCTATGTAAGCATAATCAACATTACTGACCCACTAAATGAGGATATGCATTTCAAAATGTAGAAGTTTGTAGAACAGATCATTCATTAACTTCAGACTTGCAGGCATTTAAGAGGACTATAAGCTCAACACCACTTTATATCATTTCAAAGAATAATTTTTAAGCAACAACATACATTTTCTGAGAGCATTATGTTCACAGGATTATGCATGATCTTACAAAGCCAGGAAGAGCTGCCTAATTGGATTTTTTTTTTCTTGTCAATTTCAGGGTAATGAGACTGTTTCAAACACGTTGAAGGAATTCTACATTCAAGGAAAAAGCAGGAGGAAGAGAGTAAAAAGATAAAAGTAACATCTGAAGTCATTTAACAGCAGAACAAAATTGTTACTTTTCCGAAACGAGTTCTAAATAGAAAGTAGGCCACAGAATACTAACAATACCAGAATTACCTTAAGTGATTTTGCCAGTTGTACATGGTTATCATAGACGAGAATGTCCACTGTCAGATTCCGCAGCTGATGAAGCAGACCTCTCTCTCCTTCCAGGTCTCTTGATTCCACAGGTACCTTCCACGTTGGGTAGGGGCATTTTGTGCCATCCCACACCTGCAATGAAAATAAACCACTCCAAAATGTTCAAAAGTCTTCAGATTGAAGACTTTTTACACATCTGTTGCTTGACTAAAAATTGCTAGAAACAAAGTATCTTGCTTAGGATCTGAATTCTAGGTTCCTTAAAGTACTCACATAGATTTTAAGGCACATTTTTTTTAATTCTTTACAGGGTATAAAATAATCTCTGTGCAGAATTTTATCAGTTGTCAACAACCAATCAGTTGTCAAGAATTTACTAATATTTAGAAGAATCAGCCCTATCAAAACATCAACTGCTTCTCCTGTGGATATAATTAAGGAGACTTCATTGCATGCAGAACTTCATACATTAAATATCTGAACCCCAGCTGAAGACTTTAAACACTTTGGCTGTAGTATGTGGAGACTGAGTACACAGCATACACTCCATTAACTACTCATGATTTCCTGCTTCTCTCTAGATTCCTGGTTATGTGAATCATTCCACAAAAGGAAAATATCACATATACTTAGTGATTAGATTCTGCAAAGTGGTTGCTTTGAGCTAAATTGCTGAGAGATACCTAAGTAGTGAAATATTAACAGATTTATTTCTTAGCTACCAAAGTTTTGTGGAAAACTAAGATTGCCAAGAGACAAAAAAAATAACAGATGCAGTACTTTGATGTGCGTAAACAGATTTTTGGGGTGCAAACTTTTAGTTATAACTACAAAATAATGATTCGGAGAACTGGCATCAAAACAGAAAAACAAAAGTTCAAAAGATAGTCATTTGAGACTAAGACTTAAAAGCTGCATTTCACAGAAATTCATGAATGCTGGCCCAGCATAAGCTAATTTTAGATAATTGATGCTACCAAAGTATTTTATTTCATGAGTTCAGCACTGCAAAGGAAAAAAACACTAGCAAAGGTTAGCTTTTTAAGGGGGTTCTACCTTTTTGTGTCATCAGGATAAGCTGAACTGCTGTGGATCAAAGGGCCCACGGTAAAAGCAGCAGTGAAGACGTGTAAATACACTGAGAATAACTCATGGTTGAAATACTCAGGCTTTTTAAAAACTGTGGCAGAGTGTACCACTTCATTATCTAGACCCTTCACAATACACTCGTATTTGGGAAAGTTAGTTTGATGTTATAGACCTTTTTCCCTGTCAACAGTTTTCCCTTTTAACTCTGATTTGGCTTATTACCTTCTGATTCTGTAATGCAGCATACTTTAAAAAACACCTTTGAATGAGAGGCTGACCATTACCTAAATTCCAGGCCTTTCCAGAACTAAGAGAAACAGATTTATTCCACTGGCTATATGCTATGAAATCACTATATTTGATGGAAAGAAGAATTGTAAGTTTGTCGAGTTCTCATTATTTTCCAACTAGCTTTACTTGGGACAATTTGATAGTTCTATATTTGAAATACCATTTTTTTGAGGAATTAATGTGTTTGAAGCCAGGGCATCTTTTGAAGAAATGTATAAGCCAAGAAGTTCTCCTCTAAAGAGGAAAAAATAAAATCATTAGAAAAATAGCTGATTTTCTTTTTCACCTGCAAAAACACGAGCACAGATAAAGTTCATTACCTCAAAAACTTACTGGCTTCCTTTGATGCAAATTACAGAAGGAAAAACCACAGGAACTAATGAGCAATTTACTGTCCACAAAGTTATAAGGTTTATAAAGGGTCTCATCTGACATCCACTTCACAAGAGGCAGTTTAAATTGAAATATTTGTAACAACTACAGAGCATATCACAGGATGACACTTAATGTTTCTTTGTATCGTACAAACATCATTCTGCATGAAAAGAATCTCTGCTACTCTACTAAAGGAATAATGCAGTGAGTGTGTTCCTTCCTAACATGGCAGCACAAAATGCAGGAGTTCTTGTACCAATGTAGTAGTACCAAGGAATAAATAAGACATGAAATGGAAGAAAAAATGCTATTCCTCACTAAGGTGTTAATCAATTACATAAATAATAACTAATTGAGGCTGCATAAAGTTCATCATAAAGATAATATACTAAATCCATTCATTTGTTTTCCGGTGAGGGCTAGCTGCATTAAGCTATTTACTATGGACACAGCTTAACAAAAAAAAAAAGCACTAAGTTGTTGTTGATCAGAAAAGAAGGTTAAAAATATCAATACTTTTCAGCCTTAAGCCCTGCAAAATTTATTGACAAACATTTGTGAAACAATATTCCATAACAATGCCATCTTACAAAACCTCTCTAAAGAAATAAGTTAAATGGACAATTTTAAAGAAAACAAGGATTTCTATTTTGTTTCCATAAGTAAACTTTGACCGTTTTATCTTACTCACTTAACATCCAAATATTTCTCTACAGTATTATTATAAATTAAATTATAATGTAATCAATTAATATGTTTGTTAGTCTACCTTTAGAAGAAAAGAAGATCCATCCACTCTTGCTTTCCCTACTGGAGGCTCGAGGAACTACAGGTGCGCCCACGGTACCGTCAAACGTCAAGGATGCAAATCCCCCACTGGTAATTCCCTGCATCTGTCCATTGTATTCCCTGATCTGTAATAAAACACAAGGAAAAATATAAATCGCTGCACTGCATCAAAATACACACAGGTTTCAGTTTTACCACATTCAAAAAGAATGGCCCGTTGATAATTTTCGTTCCTGGTACTATGAGGAGAAAAGAGTTAAATGAGAGTAAAACACACACAAAAAAAGAAAATTCACATAATGAAGATGAAGCAGATAAACAAAAAATGTAGCATAACACCAATGATTTCTGAAGAGGCTGACTAATATTAACCTGCAAATACATAGCACTAGTAGAAAGTATTCACCAATCTCAAAATATAAAACTGGAGAACGCAGCATTATTTTTTTTACACACGGGGAAACTGAGGCACCAGCAAAATTATTTTTTAAGGGTCACACAGCAGAACATTAGCAAAGCAAAGGAATTATGGGTTTTTGTTCCCGCATCTCGTGATAGACCGTAATTATCATAGAACTAGGGAATAAAATATTAATTCTAGGAGATTTTTTTTTTCCTGTATCACAAATAGGGTGATTGGATTCAGGAGCTTTCTTCTCCTGAATTATGAATAGAGCTTGCAGTATTACTTTTATATCTACTGCACGACAGATCCTTTGCATCCTGCTATTTGGCAGTGTATCTGCAACCACACGAAACAGTGTGCAGCTCTGAGGTGTTCCTGCAAGGATCACGTAGTCTCTTCTTGTTCCCTAGGACACCCACACGAGTTATGAACCAGAAATCTCAGACCTCGATTTAACCAGCTATTTATATGCATCCCTTTTTAATTAAAATTTGCTTTCCCAAAAAAGTTATGAACCAGAAATCTCAGACCTTGATTTTTTAATTAAAATTTGCTTTCCCAAAATGAAGAAGACTTCTGAATAAGCCATTTATGAGAAAAGCTGGTTTAGGTTTCCCAGGGGTCAGTTTTAAAATCATTAAAAATCTTACTGATTAAAAAGTAGAGAAGCCAAAAGATGTAACAAAGAAGTTCTAAATAGCAACATTTGAAAAGACATTACAAACATTATCCCTACAGCGTATAACACTGATAAAAAAAGAAAAAAAAAACCACACTTCTCCCACGTGAATCTGAGTGAATTCATAAGCAAAGCAGTTCAAGCTTGGTAATAAGAAGCCCTTTAGTCTCTCTTACTAATGCATAGGTCTTGCCTAGAGGCATACACGTCCTAAGGATCATCTCTAGGATACCCTTTCATGTACTTAAGAATTCTCCAGACCCAACTAATGGATTATACCAGTTCATCACGTAGTTTTTCCTCAACTGTAACTTGTCAAACTTTACACTTTTAACCTTTTGATTTAAACTCTGAAAATACATTTAAACTGAGAAATTACAACTAAAGCCAGTGGAAAAATCAGGAAAGTACACAGTTTTTCATAACCAAATATTTTGATTAAGAATTATTCACAATTTGGAAAAGAATGTTGCAGTGCAAGTGTAAGACAATATCAGACATAAATGCAAAGCTTTATCTTAGAGCTGCTGTCACTGTCAATATATTCCATGGTTTTGCAAAATAAGTAACAACCAGAGGAGAGCCCTCTTTTATCAATTTTATTTATTCACCTGAATCAAAAGCTACTTGAAGCATATTTTAAGTATCTTGTCTCACCCATCAACGTGTTTAATTCTAATTGTATCTATTTGTGCATGAATTTAATTTCTTCACTAATGTATCTAATTACTCATCAAAATATTTTGACTTCTCATTAAAAATCCTGTTCTAGACCTCCAACAAAGATATTTATGATGGCTCCTAACTTTCCAGGAAGACAGCTCAAGAAACTACTTTGTCTCCCCAGGCTTCCACTTCACCACAGATGATTTCCTCCGCTTTCCAAGGCCTTGATGCCGTATTTGCAATATTCTTAAGGCTGTGTTTGAACATACTGTCCTTACGACATCTCCTAGTGCCTTCTTTTAATGGATTTGATATCACCCTGAACATAGGAAAAGGCAGTTGTAAAATAACAAAGAAAATAAAATATGTAAGGCGGCAAACCATTAAGGCCATGGTGAGAAAATTAACCAGCAATTCTGAAGCACAAAGAAGTTTCCTCAGAGTGAGTAGAGAGGCGGATGAGTGGCCTCAAAGGTAAGCAGAATGCAACAACATTCTTTAGCAATCCACAGAATAGAAAAAGGGGATGTAGAATGGATTTCAAAGGAAAATATTTCATAAGTAGGAAAGAGACTTGTATCTAAAGCCCACAGAACAGAAGATGCTCAAAAAAACCTCCTGGCTTGTACAAATCATTGCTACGGTGACAAGGAATCCCTGAATTCTTGGGCAAATGTTGTTCTATTACAGCACTCTAAGATCGCAAATCAAATTAAGCAATGATACTGTAAATTACTTATATTTTCACACTTAAATGATTTGCAAATTGAATTAAGTTTAGGAAAAAGGCTAACACGAGACTTCTGTGTAATATGAGAATTCCCCCAGTGGTTTTTGTGTGATTACCAGTTTGTTATTACTTATCATTATTATTATTATTGGCAGAGTAAAAATTCCATAGAGAAATTATTTTTGATATGAGTGGGAACAATAAAAAATGTTTTCCAAACACCAACAGCTTTTGAGACAAAAAAAAGAGTAGCTATCATGCATTTTGTTTGCAATGAGTAGTAGGTTCCAACACAGCCAGTCTGTGGGAGCCTTTGGCTAAGCTTTCTCAAAATAAAAAACTGAAGGTGGATTGTCACCTCAAACTCAATTGAAAGCCTTCTATTGCTTTCAGTTGGAGAGAACTCTTTCCTGAATACACTCATTTGAAAGACACTGATCTTGAAATGCTCTATAAATAGATTTACATTAACTTAATACACTTGAACTCTATTTTAGTGAAGCCAGTGTTATACAGCTCGCTCGTTGGAAGAGGGAAGGGTGATAGTGAGTAAAGTAGGAAGGGGAAATAACAGTATCTCCAAGGTATTTGTCAATCAAAACTGATTGTTAAATTGTAAAAGCAAGTGCAATACAAAGGACTATTACAAAATCATTGGAATCACAGATCACCTTAGAATATTTGAAATGCTTTGCAAAGGCAACATATAATAGACAGAGATTTAATGGATAAAAACCTATTCAGATCAGATCCATTTAACAAATATAGTGCACATACAGAGAAGGCATGATTTAAACAAAAAAAATCCTGACCACAAGAACCAATATTGTTTGAAATACATTGTCTAAACTTGTATTCCGGTTTAGGTATACATTCAGCCCTCACTATAACATATATTTTACTTTAGCAGTGATGAAAACATACACAATCCCCATTCTTGGGGATTCATGGTTGCCAATAAAATAATAGAAAAAAATAAGTTAAATGTTCACATTTTGCTACCCATTGTCCTCTTAACTGCAGAATTCTAGTACACATGAGATGCCAGTGAAGAGGAAAGAAAGGGTGCAAGATTGCCTGTGGGCAACACATCTCCAGAACTACACTTTCTGCAGTGAACAACTTATTCCACTCAGTTAAACGCTTGTATACAGATGTATGGCACTGTGTGACCCAAATAGGGTGCAGCTGACAAAGAAGCAAGATCTCAAGATCTTAAACAAAAAGGCAGTGCTGGAACAGGGATGGAAATTCCACAACCTCTCCGAGCAATCTGTTTCAGCAATCTAGTACTTTCCTAGTGAAGAACCACCTGTGGAAACACTCCTTTAGCCATACTAAAAGCCACCCTCACAAGAGCTATAAAGCTTCCCAGAATAAATTACAAATTACTATATATTTTGACTGTATTTTATGTTTTAAAAGATTCAGAGGAAATGGGGAAAAATGCCCACACGTGGATTATATTTCAAGTGAAAATCTATATAAAAACATAGACAGGAACTTGGGATAAATCCACAAAGAAAATAAAAAGTCCTAAGTGTCACAAACTTATTTGTTCATATAAATGATGGCTATTAACAAGCTTTCTTCATAGCAGATGAATAAAAATTTTACCTGGAGCAGAGGAACAAGGCACAAAGGTATGTCTTTCAATCCTCTCAAAATGCTCACCACTTTAGACACAGGTTTACAGGCAGATCACTACATTTTAACTAGAAAAGTGGTCTAGAATAGTTGGAGCAGACTTGATAGTTAAAAAAAAAACACAAGGGTCTTTCATTGTCAAGGCAAAATTTAGTTCACTTGACCAAATATTTAGCTTATTTCATGGGGTTGTTCCCATCTTATTTTTGGCAGCACAACTATCCAACACCAACACATAATGCAAAGGCACCTAAGAGGCCCTGGTCCATTAAAACATGGGTCCAAACCTGCCTGCATTGAGCCATACAGCATCCAAAACTTGGAGGCAACTCATTGTAAATACTGCTTGCCATTTGAGCACTGATGGATTACACACACAGGTTGCTTTCTCCTATTAAATGCTACTGCTTTATCAGTGCTTCTGGCAATCTAAACAAGCAACAAAACAGGAGCAGGCTGAAAAGGTAAAAAGGTCTTGGTAAATAAAGATGGTTTTAAGTCTCAGACCAGCTAAATAAATCCCAACAGAATTTTCCTAACGTCCTTTATGGTAGGAAGGGCTTGATAATATAATTCTTCTATGGCTCTTTCTATTAAATGGACATGCTCCCTTGTATTCTCCAAGAAAAATCCAGGTCCTAGATCGATTATGTTCTGTGTATCTTGGACACTGTAGCCACGAAATGAAATAGGTATTTCCCAAGCACCACATTTAAGAATATGATAGGTAATTTCATCAGTATTTTTATGCACTGTTCCACCATTGAGGACACTCTTCTGAATTTTATTGGAAACTGCATGGGGCTAAGAAGAATTCAAAAATTCAGGATTATGACAATTGGATTTTTTTCTTACTGAAACTCTCCAGACCTGGGAGCATCAAAACAACTTTAATCCAACATTTTTCAAAACTAATTGGAAAAGCTATATCTTTAAAGTCAAAGATTAGCTCAAATTTATGCAACAAGATACATTTTGAATGTATATAAATAATCTTTCCTTTGCAAAAAAGACACATGAAGAATATATTTTTCGGGAATATGTAGATCTACAGGTAAGAAGTAAGTATTTCTTTCATTTGCAGAGGAAACTTCAGTCCTGCAACAAATCTCCTAGGTTGTGAGCCTTTTGTGAGGAAAGGCCCGAAGAAGGTGAAAATTAACTCCTAGGCTAGTGAAAACACATAACCAAAGCTGAACACGGACTCATTTTTATTCCCCTTCCCTTACCACCCAAACAGGCAGTAGGTGTGGGGAAACAAACAAAAACTCTCAGAACAGAAAAAGCAAGCACGCAAAAAAGAAGACTGGGAGGCAGCAGCTATGCAGCAGCAACAGAAAATCAGTCGTGAGCATGAGTCAGATGAGAAAGCAGGAAACATTTGCTTTCTCTTCTGACATTCAGAGGGAGGGAGGAGATGGGAGAGGACAGGGGGAAAAAAAAGTAGGAAAAAAGGAGATGAACACTGAAGATAAATTCTCTCTGAAAAACAAAACCAAAACAGAAATTGCAAAATGATTTGCATAGTCCATAGTGGAACATGCAAATGAAAAAAGCACTACAACAGAAACAAAAAAAATGAAGGTTTCTTGAAATTGTTACTAATTACTAACTTAGCTTTTACTGCTCAGAAATACTAGACAACTGAACCCAAGCCTTAAAACATACAGCATTCTTAACCTTTAATACCTTAATATCAGTTTAAAGGTTTTGTTAGTTGTCACAGATGCTATGTTTATGAAAACAGTCTCCTGCCTCTCCAAAAAAACCCAGATACTCATGGGATGTTTTCTTACATTTTGCAAGTTTTGTTTTCTCAATCTAAGCATGCTGTACCACAGTCCACATGAGTTTGGTAATATGACATCTTGATGAGATCTTCCCATATTTGGATGTTAATATTGCAATCATAATATACACATAACTCCATCAGTACGATTACAGAGGTGGTAATAGAGTAGACAAGCAGTTTAGAATAACTCACTAAACAATTTGTGTTGCAATATAAATTACACCATTTTGAACATTATAACAACAAGAATGAATTACAAATAATACCTGCAGGCACCCTCTTATAAAAGTGATAGCAAAATGAAAGTAAAATCTTTACAAAGATATGAAATACACATTTAGCTATTATGAGTTCCTGAGAACTGCTGTTCTCAAAGCATGAGTATCAGAAATTTTTGCTCTAACGGAATACAAAGGTGAAAATGAAGTGTTGCATGTTTCCTTTAACAGTTCGCATGAACATACAAAAACTATTTTTGTTGACATACATACAAAAAATATATGTTCAAATTAGCCAAAATAATTTACCCCTTGATAATCATTAAAAAAGAAGGGTGGTGGACCTTTCATATATTCTTCTTAATCAAAAACAGCAATACAGGCATTTACAAGAAAAAAAAAATGTTAGCTTTCCTGTGCTAAAAGTATTACAAGTGTTTAGTAAAAAATTTTATTTGCTTCCTCTCTTCTGAGCAAGAATCTGAAAACAGAATCCAAACATGGCTGTAAACAACATATTTTTCAATATCCTTTTCAGCGGATTCTCATCCAACTTTCACCAATTTCTAAATTTTGAGAATATTTACTCCGAATCCACACACAGTATGGCAGCTTTCCCAAGACTTAATGGAAAACTCAAGATTTAGTGGAAAAATTTTATCTTTCCGGAGCTCTACCTTCTCTCACGTGTTTATATTCACTCAGTATGCTCTATGGAGCTTCTTTGTTATCCTTATCAATCGGGCAGCTAGGGCCCAGGAATAAAACTGAGCAAATAGATATTTTTTCTCCTGCACTTCTCAGCAGTTTCTATTTTTCAACAAGTATCAAGGGAGAGGAAGCAACCCTAATGGAACAAAACAGGACAAGGCTAAGGTACAAACACACCGATAAAAGAAAACCCTGCAGCTGAACACAGAAATCAGAAGGGAATTGTTCCTGGAAGTAATGGCAACATTGGCCTTAAGACTGGGGATAAAAACCTAGTGGGACAAATGCTATTAAGTACTACTAGGTTGCAGAGAGTGATGCTCAAGGAGAGAGACGGGATAGGGCTAGTAGTTATAGTAAAAAAAGAGAATGTGATTGATCCTTGATTGAAAAAAGAGGATGTGATTGATGCAAAGCCCCACACAATTAATATTCAGATTTCCAAGTATCAATCCTCTTTGAAAAGCCAAATAATTTTGAAACTCACATAAAAAAACATATTTTATTTTTGTCAACTGACTCTGGCTATAGAGAAAACCACCACCTACGTCACGGATATAAGAAATTTTTGCTCAAAGGATAAATATCCTTGTATAGGGAATCTGAACATGATAGCATGAAAGTATTTTGTTTTCTTCCTGCTGCCTTTTTTTTGTGTTTGCTATTCTAAAGAGCCATTAAGTTGCTCCAAACTACAAAGTTAGAACTTCAAAATTACAAGTAAGCATTCCAAAGTTAGTAGGTGCCACAGTTATGTCCATGCTTGCAGACATCGCCTGTGTAAACACATTTCAGCTCAGGCTGCATCTATACTATGGTATAGATGCTTCATTACCCTGTTTTTCCACAGGACATTTTCCTATTCAGTGGCTGCCTCAATATGGGCCGTGGTGATGAATCAGAGCCGCGTAATGAAGCAGCCACCACTGGTAAGTGTCCTGCCTTATTCCAGCAACTGCAGCCTATCTATTGAAGAAATCAAAGCACAAAAGAAGAGGAGGACAATAATATGAAGATTAGTATAATAGAAAGCTAGAGAATTGAGCCTTTGATCTTTGTAATTGCTATGGAAATTGTGTTACAATGAAGAGGTCACACAAGCAAAGCCTACCAAAGCAAAGAGAGGTCACTCATTTGCTCCTCACCTTTCAAGAATTCAACCTGAACTACACAGGGACCAACTTGCAGGAGCACTAGAGCACTCACACCTGCATTTGATGTTAATGAATACTACACGTTGAAAGTGTGGAGTGCTCTATGAGACTGTGTATTCTGGACACAAGCTACAATAAAGCACATCCTAAGTAGCGACTGTTCGGACAGTGAGCACAAACTGAAACACAGGAAATTGAAATTCCACTTGAACGCAAAATACGTATTGTGAGGGTGGCTGAACACTGGAACAGGTTGCCCAGGGAGGCTGTGAGTCTCCATCCTTGGATCAAAATCTGACTGCACATGGTCCTGGACAACCTGTTCTCGCAAACTCTGCTTGAACAGTGGTGCTGGACAAGGTCTTCAGAGGTCCCCCCCCAACCCAGCTATTCTGTGACTGTATTGGACAGCACAGAGAAGAAAATTCTGAACAAGTTGAACACCTAATCCTTTATTTTAACATCATTTCTCTCCAATTCCTTAAGAGTAAAAATGGAAATCAAGTAATAATTCACTACAATGGAAGTTAGGATATAAATTCTCATTTGTGAATCACTTAGAGGTAATAATGAATATGAAGGAAAAGCCAAAGAAAAAAATTAACATTTTGTCATTGTGACAGGGGTTTGAATAATACAAGGGAGGTAGAATAAAAGTCAACATAACAATAAAGATAAAATACTGCAGATTTGGTCAGTACCAGCAAGATTCCTCTTCTTGCTCTTTAATAGCTTAAATATTATGCATTAAATATTATGTATTAAGAGCTTCCATACTGAACCAGAGAAGAGAAGAGAAGCTCCATGAAAACGCCACTCTCTAATGCAGTACACGCACATGTACATTTCCCTGAGTTGTTTTTTTGGTTTTAACCTGCCCTTCTCACTTCTCAGGAAGCCCACCACAGACATGGAATTTTTAAATTCTTCTATTTTTATCACTTTCTACAACTGTTGGTTTTTTTGCAAGAATTGCAGATATATTGTAAAAAATAAGATATACTTTAAAATATGTATTTTGATTTCAGAAGAAACACATTTCTGCCTCCACTGAACTTCAGAAAACCAGGATATCTGTGCAACACCTGTCCTACTGGATTTAGAGAGAATCTGAAATGTATCATAAGATTTCCTCATTCAAAGTCAAATCAATGAACTTCCAAAATTGGCAACAATTGGTTCTGGTTGGCTACAGGGTCTAAATCTAGTCCAATTTTACTGTAATTACATATTAAGAGGCCTGAAAGGAAATTTTATATTCACCTTGAATAGGTTAGCTAGTTTCTCCTCTCAACTGTAAATACCTATAGTATACGTATAGCACCAATATTATACATTAAAAAAAAGATTCTCAGAACAAAAGACTATTTCTGTATCTCAAATTCTTTCTTAGTAATTTCAATAGGATAAATTTCCATTGCTGGAATCTTAGCACTTTTTAGTTAGTTGCACACTCCTTTTCTCTCCTAACATAGACTATCAAAACTGACATGCTCTCTGTTATTGATCTTTACCCCTCTCATCAGCATTTCACATAGTCCTAAATCTCCCAGAACTCTCAAGAGTATTTACTTCAACCTTTTTTATTGCAATTATTATTATTTTTAATAGTACTCACCTTTATTCTATGAAATCGAACAATATCTCCAATTTTGTAAATTTTTGGAAGGGAATCCAGATTTCCACTAAAAAGAGTGCAGGTTAACTTTGCATTTGATGGATCCACAAGTGTTACAACTGAGCAGTAATCTAAAAAATATAAAAGTGTTTGAATTAGGAATAGGCACTATGGAGTGATTAATACCCAGGTATTAATGTTTTTCTGCTATGATCAGCGTAACTCTTCCAGAAATCTATTTAGTTACAATAGCATAATGACAGAAGCATGGCCATTTGTACAAATCATTAGTAGATATAGCTGAAAATAAAAGGAAATGAAAGCACGAGCATGTGACTGAAGAACACACAAACTTTACTCTTTTGTGACGTGCATACTATTGTTCGAGTTTCTATAAAATGGGAAGGATAGGTAAATGTCCAGTTATATAATTCTTGAGATTTTTATCTGCCCTGTCTTCTGAAAAGACAGTGAGCTCTGCAAACTCTAAAAACAAATGAAGGAATTAACTACTTATCTTTCACTTCACCAAAATGTACAAGATAGAAGCTTCAAGGATGAAGCCGCAAAGTAGTACTTAGAAGGTATAGTAAGAATATGAAATGTGCCTTTTTAAAGTTAAAGTTTGGTAACAAAGTTTCAATTTAATCTGTAACCTAGAAGATCAAACTCAAAACAAGCACACAGTTATGACAAAGCAAAATGGCCCAGAATACAGTATATACCATTGTATTTTAAAATTCAGGTTATAGAATTACATGTGTTCAAATATTTTACAAGCATAAAAGGGAATGATAGTGCAAAGTGATGGTGTGGGTAGACTAAGAACAGACCTGTCTAAGAACTTCTCAAATAACCAGCATCAACCTGGCTATACATTTAAAACACTTTAACATCTGCATATCTGCTCATAGTTACTTTTAAACAAGAAGACAGAGTGCTTTTCAGATGGATATTTATTATGCTGATTCTTATGAAAACTTAAAAGTTTGGCATTTTAAACAGATTTGCAGTATTTCTGTGAAGAGGGTATTTTTCCCCCCCTCACAATTACTTGTACATGTGTCAGTAATGATATATTCTAATCTATGGTACTTGGGCATGGTTAAATGTCATTCTTTTGCACATTACTGCAAAAGACTTCAGAAAGGTATCAGATGTTCACCTAATCTGCTGCTCTGTGCTTAGACAAACAGACATGAAGATAGTGGCTGACCAGAAATTGCAAGGATCTCCTGACATAGTATAAACAGCGGTGGCTTTATCCCGCTGGTTATGGATTCAAATTTAAAAAACCTAGCAGCACAATGATGTTATCCAAGTGAGCAATAAAGAGTAAAAGGGAACCCAGGCAGTCCTTAGATTCATGTTCCTGTGAAGATGCAGGATAATACACTGCAACGCATGGCCAGCTCCCAACTTGGAAACCTAAGATGGAATAACAGCAAACACGTGATGCTGGGATTATCTAACCTGCTCAGCAGGTTTCACAGCTATGCAGGTGCCTATGAAAAAGGGGGAAAAAGTCAACACCGGCCCCTCCGTTTTCTGCACAATTAGCACAGTTAAAAAGGCTAATATTCACCCTAGACAAAATAGCATGAAATATTCTGTTTGCTGTATAATCAGGGAGACCCTCCTACACAATATATAGGTTGCCTTTTTCACTGATTATAGATTTTCCTCCTCAACTATGACCTCAAAACATCACTTTGATAATAAAGCTAATTAAAATAAAGCTCTTCAAGGAGAAGCATAAAGGCTGATTTATTATTAAAGAAATTCTCATCCAGCAAGTCTTTTTGAAGGTTAAAAATGAAAAGTCACCAAGACTTCCTTTTTTAGCTGCAATATGAAAATTGCTTTCTGTTCTCCAAAGCACCATTAGAGTTCTGTGATTGAATTCACTATTCAGCACAGACAAAAAGCATCCAACTATAAACAGCACTGCTGAATTTAAGTAACTTCCCAATGTTACAAGAAACTATAATATATGTTATTGCTCAAACATTTTATTCTTTTTACAGTACACTCAGTTTTTCAGTTTACAAAGATAAAATAAGTTTTTTAAAAAATATGAAAATTTACATATTAAGAATAATTATCCTTTACTAGATAAATTTGCTTCATTGATGATTTTCATAAGGAAGAAAAATATTACAGTTGTTTATTTTTACTTGTAAAATTTATCTTAAAAATATCACAACAGCTGCACAACTGAACATATTTACATACTATAAAATAAAGTTATTACATTTTTAGTCATATTTTGTCTTGTTCAATATAAAACTTCAAGATTAATAACTCTACATTAACCACTAAAGGTTATCTTAAACAATTCCTCTAATTTCTTCAACATGACTTAGTGTAAATTGCAATGGAGCTTTATTATAGAGATTAAAAATAGCTAGTACTTCCAAGGTAAGTCCTTAATGAAAGGAGCCAAGATACATAAAACATACATACATACAACCTGCTAAAGCACATAAAAGTCTTTATTTTACCTGCATATTGTACAATACTCAGATCCAGAATATTCAATAAAGAAAATGAATGTAGATATGTATTAAAAGTAAAACTACTGTCAAGCGTTTGCTAGTAGAATTTTCCTAAACAAATGGTTACACTCATTCTTATATAGTAGCAATAAATTAGGACTTCCATGATTTATTACTTGCCTGCTAAATATATAATATGTACGTTTATTTTATGAACAAAACAATTTTAGAACTTGTAAGATCTTGTAGTTTAGATCTTGTAAGTATACTTGTGTTTTTTTTCCATAGAGTCTAACATTCAGTTCGGTAAACTTTAAGTTAGCAGAATTACCTTTCTAATAACTGAAATTATCTTATTTTGAAGTTAAGGAGGTATCTTGTAAGTATACTTGTGTTTTTTTCCACAGAGTCTAACACTCAGTTCAGTAAACTTTAAGTTCGCAGAATTACCTTTCTAGTACTGAAATTATCTTATTTTGAAGTTAAGAATTAGGCATTCTTCTCTGTGGCAGACAGACTTTCCAATTCCTTCTTGGAAGTATACTATCAGCTGATTAAAAACTTTTATCCCCTTGAAAGCCTAGGACTTACATGGGCAGCTGCACTTGTTAACGGATTAAGAGGTGTCAGACTCAGACATGTAGATTCTAATGCTTACAATGAACCTAATTTTCTTCAAGTAGTCCTACTAATCCTGACAGATACTTTAATTGAGAAACACTTATTCTAGGAACAAAAAGTGAGTTAGAGCACAGAGCACAACTGTTCCACTAACTTACTTTATATTAAGACATTAAGTAACACCAGGTAATATTTTATATTTACTAACATTGAAATTTTCACTGAAAAACTGTTATTCATATAAGTTTTCCAACACACTGATTTCAGATCCCTAGTTCTGGGGAATGAAAATCTAGACAAATTCATTGATATCGAATTTATTCAAGAAACTGGTACACACAAGGAAGACTGTAAAAATGAATAGTCATTAAAATAACAAATTCCTTCTTTGTTCAATTAAAAGTACCATCAGGAAAAAATATTTAATATTTCACAGTAAATTTATAAAAATAATGCAAAATACTTTAATTTGCCCTAAATCAAATAACAAATACTACAGGATAATCTAAGGCAGCAGGGATTGCATCCGTCTTTGTGTTTGCCAAACGCTTAGAAAAATGGTGCAGTCTTCTAGCAAAACTAGCACAATCCCAATCACAGACAAAATTAATGATTCCGTAGCTGAACAGCTGCTCTAAGAAACAAACACGCTGGTACCACATTTACAACATACTGTAACAAGATTCATTGTTACAGTCTCAAGGTAGAGTTATTACACAGCAACAGAATCCCTTCCCACAAGGGACAGGGCAGAACTCCTGTACTTTCAAGTCCTTTCCCCTGTTTGATATTGATGGGATTAGTTTGATAAATACTTTCTTCTTCATCTGCAGTCTCCACTAGTGGGTCTAAACTGAATTAAATGCCCTTTCCTGTCATTATTCTGTTCCCTGGATGGTAGCTAAGAACTGTGATCAACATCACCGGAATTTTTGTAGTCCTTGTTTTAAACAAAGTAAACAACAATAGGAGTTCTGTTTGAGAGAAAGAGTTTTTAAGTCTTCTTTTGGATAAAATACATACCAGTTCCTTTGCTTACATAAGGAGGCTTGAAGAATTTCACAATTCCATACAAGTTCACTACTGTTCCATCTTTAAGATGATTCAGAGGCGTATACACATATTTTGGTGCAACAGACTGGAAAGACATGATAAAATTTTTAGACAGAAAGCAATTTATTCAAACGAACTTTCATCTAAAATTTGGTCCAGCCATCCACCATCAGACAGGTTTTAAACTTTATTATTACTACTCAATGTGTCTAACTTTTTCTTTCAGGTGTACTAGGTAAGATAAAATCTCTAACTGAGCACTCTAACTGCTCTGAGGATTAATAGACAGATATGTATACATTTCCCCTGCCACAGACAATGAAGATCTAAGACATATTTGATTTCCATTTCTTTCGGTAATTACTTTCTTGCTATAAACTAACCAGCCAATTCAACTTGGGCTGAGCATTCCAGTTTAGGTGAATAAAAGTCATGAATATGTCATGAAAAGTCATGAATAAAGAATGCTGGAAAGTAATTTTTACTTATTGATTTAACATCCAAAGGGCTTTTAAAAGTTGTAGCAGCACATAGATAAATGATTTCTCAGCAGTGTCATTAAACAGAATCTCACATCCATTGTACAAGTCTTCCCATTAAAATAGCACATTTAGAGCACTAAAGAAATTAACTCAACTTAAGGTTACATGATATGCCGATTAACTTCTTTAAAAGAACATCAATTTCCCAAACTCACTGGTTTTCAACTACTATAAGAGGGAAAAAATAGAAAACTTCCATAAACTGACATAAAGCCAAGCTGTATCACCTCCTGTTCTGAATCTTTAAACTTATGGTAAAAAATAATAATGCCCATGTCCTTAATATGCTGTTTCCCTTAGATTTTTAATTTAGGCAAGTCAAGTGATGTTCCAAATGGTACATGTGAAGACCAGGACAGGAAGCCTGATTACAAGTGAGAGCAAGATACACTTCCATTTTTAAACACAATGAGTATATATTTTCATAAGGATTGAAGCTACCTCTCTAGTTTATATTTCCTAAAACAGAACGCAGCCTATCTTCAAATCTAGATGGAAGTTATACTGCACTATTCTCCTGGCATATTATTTGCAAAACTAAAAGCTAAATAAATGACAACTGGCATGAGCGTAGAAAAGGAAAATAAACAGGACAGAAAAAGAACTCCATATTATTATTTGGAAGCTTTAAAAGTCTTATGTGGTTCAAAGATATGTAGAAGATCAACTCACCACAGATGCTGTTTCTGAAGCAGAACTTGTGCTCCTTTTAGTATAAATCTGAGCAGGAAAAATGAAATACAAACTCACTGAATACAAAATTGAAGACAGTACAAATGTAAAAAGATTGAACGTAGATATTACAGAGACTTCACTTTTCAATAGTTCTACCCGAAAGACCAAAACATAGACTGAATACTTTTGCCATCTGAATCAACTTTGACACTACAAAGGCTAAAATTTTATCCTATGGAAAAAAATATCTATTTCCAGTATATTTGGGTAACAGTTACCTTAAAAAACGTACACATTTTATAAATCATACATGTTTTTGGTTGAATGTAAGTCAGTAAATTAGTAAAGTCAGTATGAAAACTGACGTCAAAAATTCAAAGTGATATTAGTGACTTGCTTAAGAGAGAAGGTAAACAGTTTTAGATTTTGTCCATTCCAATGCTTAGAACAGGCCAAGCTAACTTCACAACAGAATGGCATTAACTCCCTTCCAAGAGTTCCTGGGTCTGGCTAGAGCGTTGCTGGCCCTAAGAGCTTATCTGCAGGGTAAGAGCTTTTTCAGAATCAGCGGCGGTGACTGGACCAATGACTTACCCCAACACGAGCCCACCCTAGAATGAGAAACCTGGGCCTCTGCTGCCCTCCAGATGCAAGAGCCTGTTCCACTATCATCCCCATACTAATACAGGTTTCCAAACAGATGAAAATAGTCTAGATCCATCAATATTCAAACCTGTGTAATTTCTGGTAAGTCCTGTAACTCTTAAAAAAGTATTGTTTACATTTAAGAAAGCGTGGCAAATGCTTCTTGAAGGTAAAGACCTGACAGTCACAACAAACAGATGCTGTGCTGATGTTTTACCAGGGACAAACAGAAGCAGCAGGAGAACAGGGTAAATACCACTACCGTATCTCAGAAGACAGAAGCATTTAAAATCAATAGTATTTATATGAGAACAGTACTAAAGAATATATATTTTCTTCAGAAAATATGGGGTATATCTCACTTTAAAAATTAGGAATTTGGGAATCCATCTATTTTAAAGGGCAAACCATAATGATATGAATTACAAACTGATCATCCTGAGAAAACTAAAAAATAATAGACTTGAGGCCACTCTTGCACCCTCACCCTGTCTGCACTGCTGTTGTGTTATGCACAAAATGACTAAAACAAGTCTAACGGGCTACCAACTGCTATCTAAGGCAACTGCTATCTAACTTTCTGCATTCAACATACAGAAATTTACCTGGGAGGCCAGGGAAATAATCCAGGTCTGGTACCACCCTGCAGCACTTCAATATTATATGCTTTAGTATAATGCATTTCTCCTCAGTTACAGGCAGGCCTCTCTCTTGATTTGTCATCTACTGCAGAATATTATTTTTGAGGGTGGTCTATTCTCCACAGAGTATTATGAGGGAGGATCTTCTCCTCCCTCATCCAGGCCTGGCAAGGTCTTAGGACGACTCCCATGCCTACAACCACCTCAAGATAGAGATAACATAAATGGTACTTTCAGCTACATCACTCTGACAAAATGGATGAAGACAGGCACAACAGGATTGTACACACACACAAAGTAGTTTTCTTATGAATATACTACAGTTAATCCGAAATGCTTCAAATTCTACTGTATTCTATTGTTTTTGTTTGTAGAGCAAAAGATCAATGATATTTGAAAAAAAAAATCCATATAAAGCTGGACACTCACGTACATAAATGGCTGATCCAGCTTCTTCAGACACCTTCAGGTGGTAAGCATGCCTGCCATCTTCTTTTGCTGTAGGTGATTTTGCCACCTTAAATCCAGCAACTACAAAGGTGTCCTATGGAGACAGGGTGATAAATAAGTAGCAAATACCATTCAATAGATGATAAATACTTTACACAGTATCACATAATCTTTTGAAAGAGGACAAATTCCACTGTAAAGGTACAAGGCATTCAACAAGATAATATATTACACATACTCTAAACATTGACACAAAGTTTCTCAAGGTAGTCCCCTACCCATGAAATAACACTGGAAACCCTGATACAACGTAAATCTCCTTTGTAGTTAGCTTTTTGATACCAGGATGGTTTAGCAGAGCTGTTCCAGTATGATCTACTTTTTACAAAAAAACTTCCACCCTCATGCAAACTGTCAGAAAACAAATATTTTAGATTTGGAGCTTTCTTTCTGCTTGACCTTGTACCAAAAGCACTTCAATAAGCTTTTACTGCACGTCTTTTGCTCATGTGTTTATTTGATTATGACAAATAAAAGAGTTTTCTGATTAAAGTTGACAGTTTTAGCCTAATACTGCAGTACGGTCGCTCTTTTTGCTATTTCAGCAATCTGACAATGCTACTCTAGATGATGTAGGATACAAAACCTTCATGTTTTGTGCAAGAAAGACTGCTAACTTAAGTGATGGAGATATATATAGTTATTAAACAGCTTGCCAAAAAAATGTTGTGAAAAACCTAAGTTCAGACAGCTTAACACATGATAAAACTACTTGGGGCAGGCTGATTTTAATGTAGTGTCGTAAATGGAAAGATCTCATATTTCAGATGTCTAAAAGATAATACACAAGTCATCTAAGTGTATATCTTACACAGATATACATGAATACACAGAGCTACATGAATACACAGAGCTACATAAATAAATGAAATTGGCTCAAAACAATCAGACAATTTAACATTTATTGCACATGAAACACTACAAACATACACCAAAGTTGCTTTATTCTTTTCAGATACAAACAAAACCACACACCAAAAAAAGGTACAAGCTGCATTAAACTCTGTTGTTTTGCAGAAATCAGATGCAGTTTAAGTATTTGCTCTTGCTGCTGCGATTCACGGCATTCTTCTAATAGTGGAATCAACCTTAAGCTCAAAAAGCCATTGCTCCTATTTCAGCACTTTTAGTTTAGTGGCACAAGAGATTCTGGAACTTGGCAGCTGAGTCAGGATTAGTGCTCTGGAGAGCTGACTTGTCTCGTTCCCGTTTGTCAGAAGAGACTTGAGAATTGCACACTCAAGTGGTTGCACAGGCTGATAATCAATGGATTTTTTTTTTTTTTTGGTAAATAACATTAGACTACTGCTTGCCACTCTTGGGAAATATGAAATATGTAGCATGACATTTAAAGGATGTGTAAATGGACTGTACAATTTAAAAGAGAGGAAAAGCACTAAATTGAAAATTGATACAGTTTTGCAGGCAAAAAGGTCAGGTCTTTTCAGACTTGTCCTTAATTCTCTGTCAGCTTGGACGGATTGTGACTTGCAGTTCCTAAACCTGCTAAAAATTTGCATGGGTTTGTACAGTGTTTTGAAATCTAGTGCTATATATACTCTCAAAAATATAACTCTTCCATTTAACCTTTGTCATGTATGATGCCCCGTAGTTAACAATAGTTATTAGAATAGCTCCTATTACTACTAGCTGGGGAATCAAAATAATTTACACAGAGGTAAATTTTCATGCATTACTTTGCACGCATATACAAACAATAAGATTCCAAATATATATATATAAATATATATTTATTATAAATATATGTATTATAAATATATATATACACACATATATAAATATCTAAAAAAAAATCTATTTCTCTTATTCAAAAGAGAAGAGCAATAAAAAAACAGCAAACTTCTCATTTTCTGGAAGGTTTTTCTGTAAAGAGAATTGGAAGATCCTTACAGGGAGAACAAGCAAAACAGTGTTTGAACATGGAGTAACTTCCCCCCCACACCTCTTTAGGCTAGTTATATAAATCTGTTAAAGTACAGTATGGAAAACTACAAAACTAAAATCTGAAATTGTGAGCAGCAAACAGTAGTAAAGCATTGCACCTTGCTGAACAAACTGAGGTAGCTCTTTTCAGCTTTTCTTTTCTCTTTAGTTGCAACACTCAAGTCTCACTGAAATTCTTAGGTTGATCTGCCAATGCTTTACCCTGAGCCTATCAAATCAGGCTCATATCTCTGATGAATCAAGATGCAGGGACAGCCAAAAGAGAAAAGCATATGTAGTTCTGATTTTTTTTAAGACTACAGAAACAGAAAAAGGACCAGTAAATGTTCCTAAAGCAACAGAATGCTAAATTCAGATGTCTAAACTGGCAGCATAGGCAACGCAGATCTCACTGGCGTCATCAGTCTAGAGCAGAACTCAGCAGACCAGCTCTTTAATCCTTAGGAAATAGATCTGCATTTACTATTAACAGTATAGAGGGTAACTGCAGCACAATCATTCGTAAGCGTTACATACAGTGTTGTATTAAAACTAAATGTAGGCATTAATAAGAGAACTCTCCCCTAAATTTTTAGAAGTGCACTGTTCCATTTTTGCAACAGTAATACTTAAAAAAAATAGTAACTGTCATTTAAATCAACTCTCAAATCCTTCTTCAATAAATGGCAATACACTTATAGCTTATAAACATAAATGGAAGGACAGCCTCTCAGTCATTCACATTCATCACCTTTTATTTGCTATGTAAACAAAATAGCACTGACAAACAAATCAAATGACTTTGTTTCAATATTTTTGTTAAGAAGAATTTGCATAAGCAAACATTTTTCCTAGTTCATATGTATAGATTTCAACTGATTGAACAGATTTTCTAAATTAGGTGACATCATGCAAATACAAGATAAGAAGTAAATATAGATCCGTGGAAATAATTACTAAAGTCAGAAGAGAAAAAAGAGTGTTTTACCCCAGGACGTATAACTTTTGCACAATCCTCTGCCATTTTTCCGTGTATTAAAATATTGATGCTGTTGATCCTTGAACAAAAGTCATTTGAATCTAGAAAAAGAGGCAGAAATTGTTCCAATGACTATAATTTTCTCAAAACAAAATAGTGGAAAGGATATTAAAAAAAAAAAAGTACAGACTTTTAATATTTCTTATTCAAATAAGACAAAGAAATCTGAAAATAAGAAAATCCTTTAAAATAGTTACGCAACTGCTTTGGTGTGCTTATGTCAGTATCTCAACTAGAATATCCTCTGTAAAATAATTAACTGAAGAAACTGAATTAAATGTCTTTAAACAGATTTCCAGTTTTAAGTATGTATTTTTCTTAGTCCTTCAGGGTAAGAGACTTGAGATACATACTGTTAAAGCCATACACATAGATAATGCATTTCTATGACAGGATTTTAAAAGTTTTGCAACAGGAAGTCTACTGAAATACAAAGACCTTGTTTCCAGTAACTTAGCTGATATAAACTTAAAATAATACTTTTTTAGGAAATTGGCAGAATATTTACAGAATAATGCAGAATATGCCACAGAATATTTAAAACACATACATTTTACTGGACACTAAAAGACCAGATACTAGTGATCTAATAAGATGGCATTAGAAATGATGTTCAAGAAAAATATTTTTAATGTAATGATGTAATGCTATACCTTGGAGAACAACCTTTAAAAAGTCTGTCCCATCTCTGAGTTTCGTTACTGCATAGGAAAGAACAACTGTTCCCTAAAAAGGGAAAAGAAAAAAAAAAAAGTAAACTAAGTTTATGCACATATGTATGTCACTGAAGCACTACCTATAGCTGAGACGTCCAGAAGCTAATAAATAAATAAATAAAAATAAAGGCTGATTTAAAAGTGATTAGCACCAATTATCACCTGGATTTTTAAAATAATAACAATAACAATAAATATTTAATTTGTTTGTTTAAAATTTCATGGAAGA